GGGCCTCGGCGAACCAATCTAGTTCATTGAAATATTCGGGAAGAGGCTCGTCTTCTGGGAGAGGAGGGTCGTTATCATCGATAAAGCAAGGCGTGCCTCTAACCGAAAGGCCACATATGTTACATGGCGACATTTCGAAATCCATAGCGAGGGCCTCTTCTGACAGATTTGATATTAGATTTTGAATGCGAGTCAGAATTTGCGTTGGCTCTAGAAAGTGCCCGGGTTTGGAGAAGACAAGGAGAAAGGCGAAAGAAAACCAAAGACGGAGATCATGACCAGAACAGGATCAGGACAAACAAAATGAATGGAGTTGGGGGCCGTTTCAATATCATGCATTCCCCACACTAAAGGCTGAAGCTGACCGTCAGGCTTGGGGGCTGTTGGTCCAGGACATGCATGAATACGAATGACGTATGTTGTTGCCAGCGCCAACAACTTGTTGGCTGAGACGAGCGACTTTGTTGCCAGCGGCAAACTGCATTGCCCCACATAATATCATGCATCCTTGCGAATAGTAAAAAATAGAAAGCTTTGGGGGTCACGTCCTTTCTGCGAGTTCTGGGTGCGCTGTCTGCAGCCTTTCCGAGGCGCCCGTTGTGTGTATGTGTGATCAGCTGCGCATCTCAGGGGGTTTGGCCCTCATTTGCCTTCCGGGAGACCAAGCTCGCCACCGGAGTCGGGGTTACTTCCCTTGGAATTGATCATGAAACTGCGGTTCATTTTGGTCGTCGTATGACCTCCAATATGACCCCAATGCTACTTGAAATTTGGCAGAATCAACATTCAATGACATTTTGGGTAGCCGAGAGAAAGCAGTCTGGCGATCGATTAGAAACTGCCAAGAACAGGACCGTGTAGTGGTATAGTTACCAAATCACTGGCTCTGTGAACCGCTGGAAACGTGGTGTTTTTGTGCTTCATAACGGACGTTTGGACGAAATACCTTTTCCCGAAGTCTGTAGCATGATGGATCTGCTATACAACACCCACTCTGCCATCCCCAATGGAACTTGTTGGGAGAGCCTGAAAGCTCACATCTGCTTGAGGGCAGGGAGCGCAAACGAAAGGGGCTTACCGCCCCAACCTCAAGCGGATGGGGGCTGTTGGTCTTTGGTTCTTCTTGATGTCCGGTCAGCCAGTCTTTGCGGAAGCGCGAGATGTTGTTGGTACTAAATTAGAATGGTCGATCAATCATCAATACCGCAATGAGACCATAAAAGGCTGGTGGACGCAGAAATTGCACATCGTATCCCTTGTGGTTTGATGCTTCACATCTTTACAATATCCCTCATCTATCACAGAGTTTGAGACTCAAGCCTTTTCGAATCGTTCTGTTCCAACGCTGGTGCTCAACATGAAGCTTTCCTACGTTGTATGTGCGTTTGTTGGCGCTTCCTATGTAGCGGCTATCCATCTTAATGAATACGAGGACGATTTACAGGAAAGCCAGTCTGTGTTTCTCCACAATCCCCAGGAGACCCACAGCATCGATCGAGGCTTTTTGGCTGCAAGAGACAACCCACCAATCTCAGGGGAAGAGAGCTCTTCTACTACGGCATTCCCTACCCCCAGCCTCGCCGGCAACCTGTCCCGAATTCTGATGACACCGACAACCCACCAATGGACCTCCGAGATTGGCACTAGCAGCCATACCACTACTATTCAGCGCCCTGCCTCCTCTCTCTGGTCAACTATCGATAGTGAAGGCTATCCCACAACGACTCAAACCATTCATGACTCCCAAAAGACGACTCAACATGTTCCAACCACTCCCGCCATACACGACACTCCAACACCAGTGTCCACAATGACTACGGTACCACCAGAGCTTCTTATTCAGACCTTGACAGGTTCTGAATGGAAGGAGAATACCTGGATCACGACGACTGGGTCTGACGGTTCTCCTACCCTGGTTCCTGTGATTGTTGGGTGCCCAGGTTGCAAAGATCGTAGCGGCGGGGGGTTGCTTCTCTGGAACCTTCCGCAAATACCCAACGTATCTTTCAAGTTTCCCAATATTCCCAATCTACCTCAGTTCTTTCTACCATGCGTAAAGATTCTGTTTGTGGAGATAGGAAACTGTCCTGGACCCGTGACCGAGTCAACAGACGACGGCAAGCAGCAAGATGATCAGGAGAGCAATTCACCAACTCCTTCGCAGACGCCATCGAAAACCCAATCAACGGCAACATACTCGTCGGCAATTTCCTCAACAGAAGGCTGTGAAGTCACACAAACAGCTAGTCATTGTGTAGCTACGTGTAGCCCAACAACGATCGACCGTACTAGCACCGTTACCTGTTTCACAACAGCATGTCACGCGACCATCACGGGTTGCAGTGTCAGCGGGATCACATCTACCACGACCAATATGCCATGCCCAACCCACAACAATGCCAACAACGTTGACAGACGCGACCTCGGAGGCGATAGCTGCCCAATGAACTGCCCGCAGTGGAGCCTCTACGACTGGAAATCTTCCGATCCTGTAGAGGATGATCGATCCGACGCCGAAAAGAGAGATTTTGCACTGGCTGGACGTATCCTGGTTTCTCGTGCAGACAAATCAAACGTGAGAAAGATTGGAGGGTGTCGAATCGAAACTGCATGGCCGGCTGGTAAACCAGTGGCGACACCTGCATATGCCTCAGGCCCAGAATTTCTAGAAGCTGACCAAGCCGGGTTTATGAACGTCGATGAAACGAGGAGAAAATCGAGCATGGAAGTGCCGAGATGGTATAGCTTAAGGAGCGCTGAAGCACCGGCTTGCACTCCCACAGCCGTTCGACTCGAAACACAAGATATGTATAATGTCATGCAACGCTTGAAGAAGACCGAAGAAGAGCATAAAGGTAAAAAAGACGAATCAGTGTTTCTGTTCAACAATCAACCCGACAGGCCTTCGTTGGATCATCTTTGGGAGAAGAGTTGGGCGACGGATTTCTTGCTCAAAAGTGTCCTGGACGACAGCAACGCAGCCGCTCCTTTGGCTGACTCGCCAGGTGGCGAAGCTGGAAAGATGAACTGCAAAGACTTCAAAGCTTACATTTTTGGGTCTCATGACGAGGGGAAAAGAGGCACGCAAAACCTTATCGCCAGTGTCTACAACGCAATGCCCTCGAAGAACAACTTAGAATTCGTTGGAATGACTCAAGCTCTCAACGAAAAGGCCAAAGTAAGCAAAACATTCTCTAGTTGCACCATGTAATGAATATCGTCAATCATATGCTAATTTGTTCTTCACCACAGGGACTCCTCTGGAATCCGAGGAATCTGAATCCAGAAGTGGATGCAAATATGAAAGATGCTGCGAAGCTGCCTGTTGCCGCAGCCTTGAAGGAATTAGACAAGAAGATGAACTTTTTGTTCACTATGCAACAAGGAGTTTGGATGAGCAACATCCCAAAAGCCATTGAGCTTATGCAGAGAACGAACAATAGGGTGTACAACGAGTTGTGAGTCATTCGTCTTTTGAACACATACCGGCATCTCTGCTAGGTTTGCTTTGATAAAGAATCGTGTTAGCTGACCAAGAGAGTATGCAGTATCAAAGCCGATAAGGTTCTTGCAAAACAGAACCCTGAGGTGAAAGCTTTGACGCAAGAGGGAGGCTATCTGAGCCCACGCTTTCGGCAGCACATGGACAATTTTCTCAACGACCCAGAAACAGGCATCAAAGCACTCGTCATCAACTCTGCGGACTCGATCAAACAGGTTATCGCAACGGGGTTTGAATCTCTCAATGAACGAGCTGAGCGTATTTCTAAGGCCGGTCTCACTCAGGACTTTGAGATGGGAAAGAAGAAGTGGGAGTATCTTCGCAGCCTGCCCCGTTCGACATGGGAGCTACAGATTTCATGGTCATGGCTGAGGTGTGACACACTTGCCCGAAGAGACGGAGAGGAGCCCGGTGCTTGCCACTTCGCACCGCCGACGTCAATGCCTCCGGAATCGACCATCGCATCGTCTCTTGTACCAACCGAGACCAGCCTCCCGACCGATGCCAACACCTTCACAACCACCTCGTCATCTGCTTCGGAGATGATTACAGATCCAGCTGGCTCATGCACAAGAGATGAAGAGTGTAGAAGCATACAATGTTCTGATGGCTCTTTGGGTGCCTGTTTGGCTTTGCCGTTGGGGCGGGGAAACGCTTGTGGCTGTCAGCCTCTCAAATGGGAGACTCCTACGTTGTCATACGTACCGACGGCATCTACTGAAACGCAACCGCAGACGATGCGTACATCGTTGAAGACCCCTCCACCAAAGACTTCGCTACAGAGCAAGCCTTCTTCAACCACAGCCGTCCCACCACGTTGGACTCAGACTTGCAACCCGGGGGGACTACGGTTCGACAAGGATGCCGCCACTGATTTTGTCGAAGAGTATTGTAAGAAAGCCACCTGGGATGAGAAATGGTTCAGTGCTGCTACGGACGGAAAGATGGTCAAGCAGAAGGGCATCTCCGTATGGGAAAACCAGAAGGACGACAAGGTGTCGTCTTTCAGGTTCATCATTCATGCTGTCAAGCCTGCGAATGAAGGCAATAGGAAAGCATGGTGTGACACCGAAGGAAAAGGGGCCCAACTGAACACAGCTCTAGAGCTGCTACAGTCGGAAGATGGTGTCCAGGAGTGCAGGAAGCAATTGCAAGAGTTGCTCAAATGTAAGCAAAAATCTCTTCCATCATATTGAGGAATTTCAGCTGACACAGATGCAGGTCGACCGGATGCCAACAACGCCGATAGGCCTTCCGGAGGAACTCGCGCCGGTCTCTGTCTTCAATGGACCCTTCAGGTAACGAGGGATGAAGTGTGATCAAATTAGCCTACACCCTAGGGGCTCTGTAAAGTTTGAAACGGGGTTCAACTTTAGGGTGGATACACCCGACCATCAAAGACTGGAGCAATTTTTTTCAGAATTCAGGCTGGGGGTTGACAGACCGATCCATCATTTTCTCGATTGGGGCAAACTTTGTTCGTTTATCAAACGCCTAGCTAGACAACAACTGACTTTCTTTTCTCATCCTGTACTTCTTTCTGGTCAAGACTATGGTCCACAATTTCGTGGGCATCTAAGACCATGTCAACCTCTTGAGCCATGGTTTCAAACCGAGATTCGACTCCCTTTGTAGCCGGAGGAAACCAGAAACTCAGTGCATAATAGGCCAGCCCGCTCACAATAACACTGAGAAGGTATCCCATCTCCCACAAATGTGTCCCCCCAGAGGTGATGTTCACCGTACCGAAGGCCCCGACAAACCCTGGGAAAGGTAATGCAACACCGAGGATCCATGCGGCAATTGCGCGTATATTCCAGCCTTTGTAGTACCAATATCTGGAACTCTCGTTGCCGACGTACAGTTCCGTGATGGAAAAGTTACCGTTGGCGACAAAGAAGTAATCGACGATGCAGATAGCAGCAAATGGTCCCATCAAGATGGAATATCCGGACAGAAAGGTCAGCAAGCTCTTCGCACTTTTGATGATGCGCCACGGAACGATTGGGAATGTCAGCACTGCGCAAAGAACCTGACCCCTTCGAATGTTTATCCAACGAGGGAAAAGACCTGCAATGTCGGAACCGAAAGGCAAAGAGTTTGCAGCTACGTTGGTGCCGAGAATTGCCACGGCAAAAGCGAAAGAGGCGAGAAACACAAGCCCTCTCGATGCAGGGCTCGTCTGGTAGTAGTCAAGTGCCTCGCCCAGAACATCCCATAAGTTCCAGTAGGCCTTTCCCCAGACATTGGAAGTTGCACTGGCCACCAAAATTCCGAACAGCGCAGGAAGAGCGCTGAAGATCGGATATGTGAGCAACTGCGACCATGACTGGTCACTCGGCTTCCGAGCCCATCGAGCGATATCTGCCTGAGCCACAATAAGCGCCGAGCAACCCCCAAAACCGGAGTTCAGGGCACTCATCCAGAGCCTACCGTAGTACCCAGGATTGCTGATCTTAGGGGAAACTTGGAAGCTCGGCCCAATGGAGCCCCCGTTCAATACGATGGCCCAGATCAACACCGCAAAGCAAGCCGGGGCAACCATGCATGACTTGGCGACGAAATACCAGTTGAGATTGCGCGGGTGAATAAAGATGAACGGCATGGAGAGAACCCAGAAGACAAAGAGCGCGACCATAGTCTGCGTAGTGATACCCTCGGAGACGGGGATGTTGTTGGGAATGTTGTGCCAGGAGGGCCAGATGCAGCGGAGGCAGATGGAAACAAAGTTGGCGCCATAGAAAGAGTTTACAGAAAACCATATGGCGGCGACGACGCAGCGTGACAGAATTGCAAAGTAGCTTCCCCACATGCCAAAGCTGGCACGGGCGTAGACAGGGAAACCGATGTGGTATGCTGCTGGCCCTCGACCATTGGCGACGAGCAGTACGGCGCCGATGATGTGTGAAACAACCACGGCGAGCCACGCGGCGTACCATGGCATTCCCAGAGCAATCATCGCGCTCCCAGTTGTCCAAGTGCCAGTTGCAAACGAAGAGGCGAGCCAAAAGGATGTATAGTGTAACCACGTCCAGGTTCGATGGGCAGGTTCGGTTGGGTCGAGATCATGGTTGGACCATACATGCTGGCTGCTGCTGCGCTCGGGAGCTGTTTCTGATGTGACGCTATACGGGTTCTGAGGGGCCTCGAGTGCATGGACGATGCCTTGCCAACAGATTCTTCGGGGGATAATAGACAGATTCGGATTCATGACTGCATGGGAGACAATGACGAGACACGCGGAGAATGGTTGAGGGTGTATCGGTATGAGAGAGACTTACTCTATTCATAAATACTGTTGCTCTTTAATCCATTCCACCAAATCGATTGACAGGGGCACTGCATCCCGTAATGATACTCGGCACACTTCAATATTAGCACCCGGCAATACCATGTTCTCAGGCACATGCATAACTGCTACCAGCCAAAGACTTGCTGCAGGCGTGAGGCGATGTAATGGTGATATCAGATAAGAGGCGGGGATTTGTGCGTCGTCGGACACTAACGCAGAATGTCCGCTGGGTTGGAGTGTAGATGCGTCGGTCAGACGATGCCAATTCCCTCGGACCGCAAACGCGTTACATCGTTGACTGAGAAGGATCTGATCATTGAAGGGCTCGTCAAGCCTCGAGATTTGTACTACTAGTGCCTGAACCCAGGCGATTTCCTCTGGAAGCTTTACTTGGTAGCAGTGTAAATGGCTTGTCAGAATATCATTAAAAACACTTTGACTTCTAGAATAGAAGAATCTCAATATTGATGAAATCGCGTTCGGAGTTACCACGATTGCTGCTAGCTGCTCTAATGCCAAATTGCCCAGCTGAAAATTTGGATTCAAGCAAGACATTAGTGATGTTTAAATTAACCCACAGAAGTACGAACAAAGCGTTTTCACTCCCGAGTCTCGCTGATTCTCCTGATGGCAGCCGCTAGCCTCTCAACACCTTCCACAAGTTCTTCCTTTTCGTGCCAGGCCCAGCACAATCTTGCACCATTGAAGTATGAAGTTTCCCCCCTGCTTATGCTCAATGGGTCATCAGGCACCGCGAATATTGATCCAGGAGCAATCTTCAAATTGAAGTCCTGTAGTGCAACCTGCGCTATTTTCGCACCTGTGAACTTCCCAAAGGAGACGTAAAGGAAAAAGCCACCGGCCACATTGGAGTCGCTATTCTCAGCAACCACCCTGGCACCTAAAGGATAAAGGCAACGTTTGATGGCGTTGGTCAAGGCATGGTAGCGCTCGCGATAGACTGGAATAAGACAATCGTTGATGTGTGTTGTCATAACTCCGTTCTGCAACATCCTGTCTATCACGAGTGACGCGAAATGACTTTGGCAACCCCCAGAGACGCTTGCTCCGCTTTGATCAAATCAGTATCATACAAAACTAATTGAGGAATCGTAACTTACACTGTTCCCATCGCGGCAACAAAGTCCGGGGTGCCTTCTAGCCAGCCCACCCTCATACCTGGGGCCACGATCTTGGAAAATGATCCGTTGCTCACAGAATTTCCAAATACAGTAGCACCTTCCATATCTCGATCAACATCCACAATTCGGGGTTGACACTGAGGTATTTCCCCAGACGAAGTATCGCCGTTGTCGTCTGCATACCATCTCAGCATATCGTACACGTCGTCGCTGACAATCAATGCATCGTGCTTGCGTGCCAACTGCACAAGCTTCCTTCTGTTCTCGATTCCCATAGTCTTTCCACTTGGATTGGAGAAAGTCGGGATGAGGTAGATGACGTGTTTGTAGATCTTTGGGTAAACAGCCTTTGCAAGCTTTCTTGGCGGTAAAGACGCGTCTGCCGGCCATTCGTCGTCGAGTTCTTGGAGAGCTTTAGCTAGAAAGTCCAAGTCCACGCCATCTTCACCCTCAGGTGCGCCACGGATGCGCGCCATCAGACCAGCATCTCTGAAAATAGGACAAGCGAGGAAGTACGTTGGCTCAACCATCCAGACAGCGCGTGTGCTGGGGTCCGTGAACTTCTGCAGAATAGTTGCCAGTCCGTTAGAGGCGCCATTTGTGATTGCGATGCGCTCGCTTGGGATGGACCCAGCGGATGGAGCGTAAAAGTCGTTGAGCCATTTCCCGATTGACTCTCGTAGGCTGTTACTTCCTAGTTCAGGGCCGTAGAGGAGCTGCTTGTTGATGTCATTTTGGCGGAAGACTGCGGCAGATGCAGATTCTAGCGCCTCGACCGGATGCAAACGCGGCGTGGGCCATCCGCCCTGGAGGTTGATATGCGATTGATCGACTGGAGACTTGGCAATCATGATTCCGGATGACGAGGGCAAGGGTAACAACACTCTGTGTGGGATGCGCTCAATATAGTAGGCATGCTTTTTAGGAAACAAGCCGCGGTACGAATTTCCACAACACTGATTTCTTTTTGATATCAAGGCGGCATGAGACCGACGTCTCTCGGAACGTGCTGCGGCATTGTTTCCCTGCGCAATCTTTGTTACATGTGAATCGGAACTGGCCCTGTGTTTACTTGACCCGCAATTGTCGGACATCATTTCTAAAAGTCCGCTCGAGATAGAATGACCGCACTCACCTTTGATATGACCGAGAAGAACAGAACGCATACGTTCTATTTACGTAGGCCTGAAGCGCCTAGCGGATGTGTGCCTAGCAATGCCACTCGATCGTGAGACATTCAGTAGAGCTATTGTAGTTCAGTGAGCATGACGTTAAGAGCCTGTTCCACACTGGCTTGCAAAACGTCGTTTTGTTCTATTGAATTTGAATGACTTGCTTAAGTACAGCTGTAGTAGCCAGCTGTAGTAGGTAGAATTTGCGCGACTGTCGTACCAGCAAATCCAGCGACACAGAGTAAGACGAAGTCAGCGCATTATTATGCGATCGGAGGTACAAAGCATTTGAAACCGGCAGCAAGGTTGAGGAGGAGCATGGTTCTGAAAATTTATCTATTTCACGTGGCAAAATATCTCTCTCTAGCAACCCGCATAGGTAAACCAGTTCAGCATCACCCTCACACAATCAAGATGCTCGCGGAGGAGCACTCTGAGCACTTGTTAGCTACGACTCGACAAATAGTTGGGGATACCTACAGGAAAGATATGATACGTGTCGATGAGTATTCTTCCATCATCAAATCGTTGGAAATGGAGTCTTGCTGCCCATCCCATTTCGCCCGTCGTCCCATCGTCGTAGACGTAATTGCTCTGTCCATGGAGCATCACCTCGTTGGCATTACCAGGGCTAAAAGGAAAGACCTTGAAAACAGTGTGCTTTCTGGATGCCTGACCCTTCCAGGAGCCGAGGTTTACCTCAGCTATTTCTGCCCGGGCGCTAGGAATCAGTATTGCTTGACCCACATCACAGATAGAGGTATACTTACTGTCGCGACCCTGAACATTAGTTGCTGCCTTTTTCATGACGCCATCTTCGGCAAAGCATTCGGCCCACGAATTCGCGTTCTCTTTATCGTCGGAGAAGGTGTAGAAACGTTGAAGAAACTCGGCTAAAGGCTTGTCCAACGCCGAGGGGTCGTACTCAAAATAGTGCGCCGCAAGTGCTTCAGGTGTCGGATCCATTGGAAAGTTCTGTATATGTTCGATAGAATGAACAGCGAGTGTCTCAGGCCTCAGTCTGTTGATCATGCCCCGTGCTTCTTTATCTGATTGCAATGGGGCTGAGCGCACTTGATGAAGCTGTGTTGAATGCCCCACATCATTCGGACAAGAGCTCAAAAGTCCGACAGGCCGTCCAATAGCCCAAACTCATGCTTTGATACCGTGCATACATAAGCTATGATTTGTTATGCTCAGATGTGGCACACCTTTGGGTATGATGCAGGACATGATTTATTACAGCACTATGCAAGATGGCACCCAAGGCACTTTGCTGCTTTTCCGTCGACATTGACGCTGTTTGCGGTTGGATCGGATCATACGGAGGCGAAGAATCCGTTTCTGACATCTCACGAGGTATTCACTATTCTATTGACGTGATCAATGGCTTCCAGATACTTACACTGGATGAATAGGCTACTTCGCTGGTACTGTTGGAGTCCGGCGTCTGCTAGACCTCTTCAAGAAGTACAATATCAAAACAACTTGGTTCATTCCCGGCCACACCTTAGAGACGTTCCCCGAAGAGTGTGCTCTTATCAGGGATGCCGGCCATGAAATTGGTCTGCACGGTTACTCGCACGAGAATCCGAAGGAGATGACAGTTGAGCAGCAACGAGTGGTCCTTGACAAGACGTACCGACTTGTAACGGAGTTTTGTGGCAAGCCTCCTAGAGGCTCAGTAGTCCCGTGGTGGGAGACTCCCAAGGAAGGCGCCGAGCTCATGTTGGAGTATGGTAAGACCCCGAAGATAATGGCTTTGAATCTTTCATGAAGACTTATTTCTGGGGAAGGCCTTGAATACGATCACTCGTTCTCTCATCACGACGCGATACCTTACTGGCTGCGTGTCGGGGACGAATGGACCAAGATTGACTACTCGAAGCATCCAGATACATGGATGAAGCCGCTGGTGAGAGGTGAGGAGACCGGCTTAGTGGAGATTCCTGCAAGCTGGTATCTGGATGATCTGCCTCCAATGGTAAGGGAAACGGAATGAACGCTGTCCAACACAGGCGCTAACATATGCAGATGTTCATTAAGAATATGCAGAACAGCCATGGCTGGGTGCATCCATCGGTTGTTGAGGATCTGTGGAAGGACCACTTCGACTTCTTCTACGAGAACTACGACAATTTCTGTTTCCCAGTCACAATTCACCCCGATGTTTCGGGGCACCCTCATGCAATAAAGATGCTGGAAAGGTAAGACTCCTAGAAGAGATTTGTTTCAACATGTGAACTAATGGCTAGCCAGGGTGATTCAATATCTGATGACGAAGCCTGGTGTGGAGTTTGTGAAGATGGAAGATATTTGCGATGAGTTCAAGTCTCGCAGCTCTCCTCCTGCTGGAGCCAGAATGCCAGCCGAAGCAGGATCGATCCTTAAATGTTGATTCGTATGAAGACATCTTTGTACGTGAAGTCGCGTTTGTCTCGCTTATTTGCGTAGTAGATACATGAAATAAGAAGTCTGTCTTCATGATTCAGTACTAGCATTTCGTACGTATTATCTAGGTGGCCTTTGATTTACGGATGAACAAAGATGTGATCAGTTTTTGCAAATGTCGCAGAATGTTGCAAGATAAATCTCCACATGACTCTACAACCTCTGTCTTCTTTTCTACTCTACAAGTGTCGGCTGCGACAAGAAAAAACTGGATGGCCATCTCGCCAGCCAGCAACCTTGTATCGTCCTGGTCTACAAGTCTCAAATACTCCTTCATCTTCTCATCATCAGGTATCATCCCAGATTGCTGCACGGCTAATGTGCTCCATTTGTTGATGAAAGTATCAAATTCCGGGTGCCCCTGGTAGGTCAACACCCGGCCTGGCACTAAGAATCCCTGAACTTCGCACAAGGGAGACGTCCCCATCTGCACCCAGTTCGGAGGCAGTGGTCCGTCCAGTTGTACCACATCTTGGTGAAGAAACTGGTACGAGACGGTGTCGCCCTTCAGACAAGGGAAATGGGATGCGAAGTCCTCTGAAAGCGACACTTGATGAACCCCAATCTCCCAACCCTTGGGGTTCTTCACTACCCGAGCGCCATGTTTGGATAGAAAGGCCTGGCCGATGAGTTGGTGGCCAAAACACCCCCCGAATATTTTCACATTCGGAGAGTTCTCATAGACATCTGCGACTGGTCAGTGATTGTAAACCATGGCTGGACAACATCTTCGAAGACATACCTCGGATGAAGGCAGCTAGCTTGTGAATCCACGGTTCATCATCATATGCTGAAGCCACGGAACCAGTAACGATGAGAGCATCGAAATCTTCCACTGGCGATGGATACTCGTCTTTGAGAATCACATCGAAGCCAGTGACCTCGGCAATAATTTGGCCGTTCGGCCTTTTAGCGTTGTACGCGTTGACAGATGCTAGAATCCAGCTGGCGAAAATGTCGTCAAATTGGCCCCTATCTTTCGCAATGTTCTCGGGAATAGGAAAGCAGCAGAGAACCGCAATCCGGAGTTTGCGGCGTGGGGTTACTACCGTCATGATGATCCTGGGGTGTTGTCTCGGTTCGGTTAAGTTCTGGCTGGCTGGGAATTCGAAGACAGATAATGCCCTTGATAAGACGATACCCAGTTAAATCTTGCCGAAATGTACCGAACAGATATAAATAAGGTGGGAAGATACCTCCACAAACCGGCTCGACAGCGGCACAGCGGACATCGCACATTAAGTCCGCCGTGGGGCCGGTGTTGATAACAGCGGGGAACTGCCGAGATAAGACAAGTCAAGGGATCCATCCGGAGCGGATGACTGATTCAGTCGCCTAATCGGGATATCGAGTGCGGAGGTTGAGACCGGCGGCAGTGAGACATTCGGATGTCACGCTCATGCTCATGGGTTATGCTTCATTGCAGAACAATACAGCAAAAATGAGCCAGACGCTGTACGGTATCCCGTGGCTACGCGCTCAACGTGAGATTGCTTGCTGTCGCTGTCGTCGCCGTAAGAAGAAGGTTGGGAAATCACATTGATGCGCAATTGTGGCGCCCAAGCTAACAAAATGCCAGTGTGATAAACGCCGCCCGCTGTGCGGCGAATGTGCCAGGTCCGGTGCAGGTGAGAGTCGAAGGCATTTCCATTACCCACATCACTGAAGTTGACTCGATCTTGTGTCCAGAATGTGTGCCACTCGCCCCTAAGAAGTCTGCCATGACCACACTTCCAGCTGGGTAAGCAACCTGCTGTATCATGCAGGGAATGGAGTTCTCATAGTCATTGGCCATTAGATACGTTCATCTGCTCGAGGAACATATAGCGACACTTGAAACTCGCCTCCGACAGTCCAACCCGTCGATTGCCGGTGACCATTTTCTGAGCGACCCCAGAGCAAGACCTGTCAACACCCCACCCTCGATGGATATGATAGCAGATGATGCTGTACCTCCATTGAATCTGTTGGGCAGACTTTCAGATGGGCCACTGGATGTCGCCGGGCCTGCTTCTCCCAATGATCCACCCGGTGCCGGCCCAGTGGCAACTCCGGATTGGGTACTCGGGACATTCGATGAAGCCAACATCGACTTCGATCTTGCAGCATTGAGCGGCAGAGATATCTCACCGTTAACAAATCCTCCACGAGACCGCATGACGGATCAATCTCAATTAGAACCCACAACGTTTGAGGCCGATGACATCCAAGACACGGAACCCGGCGCACCTTCTCTTCAGCTCGCCATCCAAGAAGAACGGCTGACCGAGTCATACTTGCCTCTGTCAGTTGCTGGTCGCTATGTGAAGGAATACTTCACAAGTGCTCACCCCATGTGGCCGTTCTTACACCGCCAGCAATGGGAGGACTGGTGGAAGTATTGGTCTGGCCCGGCGAGACAAATGAACTCACCAGGCTCGCAGACTTTCTTCGTGGACATGGTGCTTTCTATTGGAGCTCTGCTGGTCCATGGATCAACCCCCTCTTCCGAACACCTGGACCTGTCTCGGGCATCCTATCAACGAGCCATGTCAAAGTACAGGTCTTATGACATCCAAGAGTCATCGCCTATCCTGCGTACCCAGTCATCTCTACTACTGACTGTGCACGCGATGCATCTCGACTCCGTCCGAGACCTCTTCGATTGCGCCGCAGAATCAGTCAAGAATTGTGCATTATCAGACCTCTCATATCAACGATCACGGCGAAAAGCTCCATTGACGCAACAGCATGGCATCGACGACGTCGTTCAGAAAATGGTTACAAGGACATGTCTCGTAATAGATATTATCATATCTAACACGATGGAACACAGTCTTTGCTTGGAAAACTCATCGGTCGATGACGATAACATGTCAGAGCTAGACGGCTCTGTGTCTTCCGAAGATCTCAGGCTCGGCAATCCCTTCGAGTTCAACTCAGCTGCTCCTTCGCCTGCAGATGTTGCCCTGGAAGAACACATTTTCCAGATTCGTCGGATTCAGTACCGTATTCTGAAGATTACGCGGAGATTGGAACATGATGCGCAAAGGGAAGGCCATCCCGTCCCCAACCTATGGCGCTCGTGGCCTCGGCATGATTCGGATCGTTGGATTCACGATATTGACTCCCTTTCTGACTCTGCGGAGCGTCAAAGAAAGTTTCAATCGAGCGCATGGCTACAGAAGCTGGCCAACTATACAGCCATCTCGTTGTTCCCGAACCCATACTTGGCCATTCGAGGAGGGGACTCGAAACACCTTGTGACTGCAGCCTGCTCCGTTCTCGTATCTTTTCGGAGGTTCCGGGTTAGAGATCACACTGCATGCTATACTTGGACTGCAGTATGTCTGTACAGCAACCATAAAATCCATTCACTAACATTGTCTAGCTCCTTCATCAATTCCAAGCTGGCATCTGCGTTGTCTTTTGCCTGTGGGCAACGCCTACACACCAGCAAATGGCGCTATACGATCGCCGCCCAGTCTGCCAAGCGTTATTTGCCTGTCTTGCAACCTTGATTGACTTTGCAAGCAAGTGGAGCTCTGCTCAAGTCTTCCGTGACGTTTTCGAGTTGCTGATGGAGGCTGTGCCCGTCGTGGAGTTCGGCGACCCATCTCAATCCTGGTCTATCACACCTCCTCAATCGGCTAACTTACAGCTATTTATAACTGAACTGGAGGATCTGAAGGTGCAACAGAAAGTAATCAACATGCTCAAAACTATGCGCAGGGGGCGGGTGCCGTTCACGTCGCCATCAGTGGAGGAGACGCAGTGGATTCAGTACGAGCATAACGAACATATGTCTTAATTGCTATCTTCTAGAAGAATATTTTCAAGATGGCAGATGGACCTATCCACTACAACATTCTTAGAAGCGAGGTTTCGAGTACCAAAGTCGTAGTTGAAAGAAGTGCCTCGTCCATGAAGCTTGCGCCCGCACGCTTCTCACCCTTGATTTGAGTGGGTGCAAAGACAAGAATGATGTGACAAAATCGGATTTACAACTTTCAATAGGGTCTTCTCGATTTCGTCGGCGTGACATATAGTCCTCAATCTGAAAAATCAGTCCGATGCCCGATCCGGACTTAGTCTAGCCAGACTATGACTTTATGTCCGACACAGTCGACAAAATCGTAGCCTCAAAGTCATCATGAACTGGAGCGTGGGGTTGCTGCGATATCCTTGCACAGAGGCGGACTTTGTCGCATATTGTCCGACTCGCGCCACAATCCGTACTTAAGCCTAGATAAGCATTGATACTCAAATGCCGGGAATGGGACGGGGCACACAGAGCCTACTACCCTTCGTGTTGGCCAGCAGTAACACGGTGGAGCTGATATCTATCGACAAGTCGCCCTCATCCAGACCAGCCAGAATCATCTGGTAGTACCATCACACGGAGTACTAAGCTTATGATCACTTTGGGTTGCGTTTGTTATCGATAATGAAAATGAACAGCCGCCTTGCTTCAGGCTCTCTCCGCGACGGTCCGGACGACGTGAAAGAGGATGCAAAGTCGCAAGTTACGGGAACGATAGACGAGCATTTCGACTATGACGCCAGCGATGTCAAACGCTTAGTGCGTAAAGTCGATTGGCGCATCATGCCATTTCTTTGGGGCTATGCTGTTCTCTCGGCAGTCGATGTAAGACAGCTTTGGTTACCGAAATCTAAAAATATATCAAGCAATGCTAATTATCCGAAATATCAGAAAGTCATCATCTCGAACGCAGCTCTCTACGGCATGTTGAAAGACAACAATCTGGTTGGTCAGCAGTACAGCTGGGTCGGCTCCATCTTCTATTTTGGTTACCTTGTAGCTGAGTTCCCAGCTGTAAATCTGATGGCTCGGTTTCCGATCGGCAAGTTTCTTGCGATTGCAGCCATGGGTTGGTCTGTTACGACACTGCTCATGGCCGTCACCCACAACGCCGCCGGTCTGATGGCGCTTCGATTCTTGATGGGCATGTGCGAAGCGCCAGCGCTACCTGGGTTGACTCTGATCACCGTCATGTGGTGGCGGAAGAAAGAACAGCCATTGCGCGTGGCCATCTGGAGTTCAACAGTTGCCTCGGTACGTCAGATTCTTTCCTCGTTCGTGCGAATACAACTAACAACTGCCAGGTATACGTTGGGCTCATCTCCTATGGCATTGGAAACAGCACCCTGGCTATAGCCTCATGGCGTTTGCTTTTCATTGTTCTAGGTGGCATTAGCTTCGTCTTTTCTGTTCTCATGTTCTTTTTCTTTCCTGATAGACCTGAAGAAGGCAAGTTCTTATCCGCAAAAGAAGCATATATCGCGGTGCACCGCAAGCTTGACGACAACACCGGCATCGAAAACAAGGTTAGTGTGATCCTCAATCAACTGGAGACGAGTACTGACCATGTTCGGCAGGATTTTAAGTGGTACCAAGTCCGCGAGGCCCTCATCGACTGGAAGTCTTGGGTTGTGTGCTTGTTCTTCCTGTGCATGAATGTGTCCAACGGTGGACTCAATACCTTCTCTGCGCAGATTGTGTCCAGCTTTGGGTTTGGCCCACTCAAGACCGTTCTTCTTGGTATGCCCACCGGCGTCATCCAGGCAATTTCCTCCATCCTCGCCACGATACCCCCTCGCTATATTAAGGACACCCGATGCATTTCGGCTGCCGCTTGCTGCATCGTGCCCCTTGTGTGCAGCATCATCATTCGCGAACTGCCCTCTTCTAACAAGGCTGGTCTGCTTACCGCGTACTACTTCTTTTACTTCTTCTGGGGTCCCTATGCCGTTGCGCTTAGCTTGCCTATGGCAAACACGAGTGGGCACACGAAGAAGGTGACAGTAAACGCGATGGTGTTTCTGGCATACTGCGTAGCCAACATTATTGCGCCACAGACATTTCGTGCCAGTGAAGCACCGCATTACGCCACTGGTTACAACAGTATCTTGGGATTCGAGAGCAGTGCCGTGGTGCTCATGGCTGTGTATTACGTCGGAGTCAAATATGAAAATCGGAGGAGAGACAAGGCGTATGGCGAGGTGGTTCCAGGCGAAATCTCTGTAGGGGAAAGCATGGAAGACCTCACAGACTGGGAGAAGAAGAGCTTCAGATACGTGTGTTAGAATCTGATTCCTGGGGTTGGCATTCCCTTCTGGATCTGATATTCTTTTCTTGGCGGCAATAATGACACAGCTCAATCCTTGAAATAAACCATTGCAAATCCTTGGTGAGCTCCCTTTGCGAAAGCCTTCAGCTCTGCGTGCGCTGCGCACTCATTATCGTAGTAGGCCATGTCTTCGGCAGATGCAAATGTAGAGATGGCGGCTATGGTGAACCCTTGCGCTCTTTGATCAGCTACGGCCAAAGCAGCTTTTACGGACAAGATATAAGGCTTTCCGTCCTGCGGTACGTTAGCGACTTGGCTTCTGTTGTGAAGGCTGAGTCGCGCATCTTTGCCGAAGGGAAGGTGAGAATTAGGCCTGGACGGAAAAGCTCTTACCTTGAGAGCTCTCTGCGGCATCTGCTGGTAAAAGCCCAAAACTTTCTTCTGACTTTCCTCGTCAGGTATTTTGAAAAGAGTAATTCTAGTGATCTTTTCCGCCATTTTGAAAGATTATCTTGCTGCAAACGGTGTTGAAGAGGGTTTAGGCTGGCTATACTGCTTAAATGATGGTGGAGGATTGGTATGTCTGTGGACAATCTCAAGACAAATGTGTACACAAAGGGATTTAACATCAAGGCCAAGATTAGATATGGTTTCAATGTCACCAAAGACGTCGAACGCGCAATTGCCGAGGTTCTGCATTGCAGCTCAGCATTACACTAGGTTGCGAGAGGGGCTTGAGGGGCGCTTGTCGTTCCGAGACTTCGGAAACGGACTTTGCTCCGAGTCTCGGAATCGCAGGGTCGCGGTGGCTTCCGTCTGCGACGTATGATATTCACAGTTCTAATCTCTGAATAGAAAAGTGAGATTTTGATATAGATTGAAAAAGCAGTATCTAATGCATTTCATCCGTCGTGGTTGTGCAACCCAAGCTATTCTCAAGATGAAGTCCTGGCTACCAATTGCCCCACGATCTCACTTCTCGCTCCAAAACATCCCTTTCGGGGTGATATCCAGCAACGAAAAGCAGCAGCATCGCCCGGCTGTTGCTATTGGGGACCATGTTCTTGACCTAGACGCATTCGCTCAAGGCGGTGGCTTTCGCAAAGCGCCTACGCTCTCGGCAGATCAATTGAAAGTCTTTTCGCAGCCTACCCTCAACTCATTTGCGGAATTGGGACGGCCAGTACATCGAATCGTCCGGTCGTACTTGCAAGAGGTCTTTCAAGACAGCACCCCTCACCCAGACATCCTTAAGGACAACGACGCCCTGAAGAAATCGGCTTTGCGTCCTGTATCGGAAGTGTCTTTGCAGCTCCCTTTTGCGATAGGAGATTACACGGACTTTTTCGCCGGGCGCAATCACGCGCACAACGTCGGCACCCTGTTTCGCGGAGCGGCCAACGCACTGCAGCCAAACTACAATCACCTGCCGGTCGCTTACCACGGCCGAGCTAGTTCCGTTGTAGTCTCCGGCACCCCGCTCCGGAGGCCGTGGGGACAGGCCTTGCCGGCACCTGGCGCCACCGAGCCGGTCTTTCGGCCGTGTGCGCGTCTCGATATTGAGCTTGAAATGGGCATGTTCATTTGCAAGCCCAACAATCTTGGAAGTCCGATCCCTGTCAACGAGGCTGAGGAGTACATCTTCGGATATGTTTTGATGAACGACTGGAGCGGAAGGGATATTCAGCAGTGGGAATACGTTCCCCTTGGCCCATTCAATGCGAAGAATTTTGGCACCTCAATCAGCCCTTGGGTGGTGCTCGCAGATGCGCTGGAGCCGTTCCGAACTAAAGGACTGCCGAATGATGTGCAGCTGCAATCATATTTGCGAGAGAACCGAGCTGAAAATGTTCTGGACATCAATTTGGAGGTTTCTCTGTCTGGTACGTTCACAATCCTAAACTCACATGAAATGAAGACTAACCGAGTCGCTTTTTTGTGATTTAGCCTCAGGAGGTGATGAAACCATTCTCACTCGAACTTCTGCGAAGAACCTTTTGTGGTCTTGGCCCCAGATGGTAGCACATCATTCAACCTCAGGCTGTAACCTTCGTGCAGGGGACTTGCTTGGCTCAGGGACCGTTTCTGGGTCTGAACCGGGCACTCAAGGAAGCCTTTTAGAACAGTCGCAAGGCGGCAAGGTCCCTATTAAGCTGAAAGGTGGACAAGAACGTAAGTTTCTCCAAGACGGAGATACAGTTGTCATCAAGGGCTGGGCTGGTGGAGCAGACGGCGAGCTAGTCGGATTTGGAGAGTGTTCTGGCCAAATCTTGGCACCGATAGCATTTTAGAAGATTCACATTAGGACTCTCAAGATTAGGGAACGCGTAGTAATTCCTACCCGGTACCCCAAAAATAAGACTACAGAGCTTGTTCACGGTAGGCATGTGATACACAATGCATTACTTGACTCCGTCAGTTCACATGACGGCGAATTCGATCTCTCCCCAAGATCAGTAGTCGGAACTGCACGGTGCGCGTGGCATTGAGATTTTCAGTTGTGAACTAGCAATCATACACCTCTAAATAGGGAAGTAAAATTAACTTTTGAAACCATAATTAAAACTGTCATGATAGGAAGAAGAAAAGGAGGAAACGTACACTCGGATACGTCCGCAAGTATAACGGATATGCCCGTGTACAGAACATCTCATACGAGTTGGAGCGTAAAATGTCCTCGGTCCAAGCTCACCGACGGTCGCAAACCAGCCGAGGTTGTATTCCCCGATTAGGCATCTCAGCATTTGTCCGAAGTCGCTACAAGTATGTGTCCGTTCCAACTACGTCTACCTCTTTTCGACATATCTTTCTCTCTCGCAAAAGGCTGCTTTAAAAACAATGAGTCCCTCTCTCAGAACAAATAGGCGTGGAAAGTGTTGGTCACGGCGAGTTCATTTCTCAGACGCTACCCATGCGCATGGCCAATACCAGACCTGTCGCTTACGGTGGATGCTCCCTCTCTGTCGCTGTAAGCGCAGCCTGTGCAACCACTAAACCCTCCCTTGACCTCTACTCAATTGTTGGTCATTTTCATGGGCCCGTCTCCCCCAATGAAAAGCTTCTCTGCACTGTCGAAAACAGTAGAGACACTCGTTCGTTTTCAACAAGACGAGTTCGAGTTCACCAGAAACAACCCGACGGCACGTCTCGTACTTGCCTCGATGTTTTAGTTGACTTCCATACCCGAGAGCCATCGTCCCTAGACTACTCCGCTAGTCCCGTCATGGCTTGGCCGAAGGCCGAGGACTGTCCTACTGGCTTTGACAACCTCTCAAACCTACAGGCCAGAGGTGCTGCGAGCGATGATGAGCTCAAAGAATACCGTCAAACCCTCCGTCAACATGAAAAGTTTATCGAAACACGAATTTGCCCAAACGGCGTGTCCGGACAGAATCTTTCTGGGGTGGCCTCCAAAGTGCCCACAACCCAGGATCACTTGCCAGTGACTTCCAAAAGGTCCGCTGAATGGTCCCGCTCACGGTCGCCGCTACGTACCTTAAACGAGAACCTCGCGGCAGCTGCTTTTCTCATGGATGGCACATGTTCGTTCGTTCCGTTGACTCATGATCACATGTGGTTTCAAGACGTCACAGCCTGCTCTTCAATTGACGTGGCGCTGAGATTCTTTACAAAAGAAGTCAACTTTGAGAATTGGCACATTGTGGAGAGGAATGCCATCAGAGCAGGGGGAAACAGAACCTTTGCGGAGTCACGGATTTGGGACAACAAGGGTAATTTGATAGCTCATATGAGCCAGCAGAGTATAATGAGGTTAAAGAAAGACGTCATACAATCTAACTTGTAGAGGATTTCTCTTAGATTGCATGTTACGTCCGGTCGTCGCACGGGCAGCAGACTCTTGGCTTAGTGACTAAACTGAGATGGTCACCGGTGGTATGGGCATTTTATATAAACGAATTACACTCATTCGAAAGGTAAAAGCAATGACAATTTTTTCCGGATAAATGTTAGAAACGGAAATGTCTTATTCTTCTTTGTTTGAACAGCTGTCCAAACGCTTCCAAGTTAGTTGCTTGAGACCACAAGGCTCTGAGGGGGTTTGCCCGCACAATCCCGTGCGTAACGACGTAACAACGGGGCGTTCTCTGTGTCTGTACTAAATTTGGCAGCTTGTGATACGTAGCGAACATGACTCCTCGAGGGCTTGTAGATTCTGGTGGTGATTGAGCAACCTCGGAAGTCGTTGCGTTCCGAACTTCCGAGATCTCGATTCGCCCAATCGACCCCGCGAGGGGTCTTCATTACCGCGAGAAATACTTTCCGCTTCTTCCGTAGAAGCAAGTTACTGCCGTTCACTGTATCAACCGGCAATGAATTCGGCTTTGGTTGTGGCAATACCCAAACTGTCAGTCTCGGTCCTGTGGAGACACGAGTTTTAAGGTCGACTTGTTCTACATACGGTCGATGTGAAAACAGGGCAAAGCCTCATTGTCAAATAGGCTATTGCAGCAAACTTGTCGCGATAATAATTGCTGAAATCTCAAACTAGCCTACAGCGATTGATACATCTTACCTTGGAGATCATCTTTTCGCTCCCGCCGTCACTAGATCCGCTGGTTGTCCCTCCGTCACAAATATCGTTTCATCGAGGTTCAAATACTTCTTCCACCATGCCAGTCACCGACTTCTCCGTTAAAGAGAAGTACGAATATCTCAACGGCTTTGACTCATTCCATGAGTAAGTTCTTCAGGATGCCTTAACGTCCGACCCAACGGTCTGGCATATTTCAATCATGAATATCACTAATGTTACTCTAGGTCAGAGGCCATTAAAGGTGCATTGCCAATTGGAGCGAATTCGCCCCAGAAAGCTCCGTATGGCCTGTATGCAGAGAAGCTCTCCGGCACAGCATTCACGGCACCACGACATGAGAACTTGCAGACATGGCTTTACCGCATCATCCCTGCTGCGTCCCACTCCTCTTTTGAGCCGCTGCGGGAGAATGGCCCCAAACCTGGGGGTCAGATCCACCAGATCCCTAACCAACTTCGCTGGGATCCGTTCGACATCAGCAATGATACCGATTGGATTAGCGGTCTGAGACCCGTTGGTGGTGCTGGTGATCCAGCGATGAAAACTGGCCTGGGCATCTTCATTTTCGCTGCCGGGAAAAGCATGGACGCCAAAACTGCGATGTATTCGTCGGACGGCGACATGCTCATTGTACTTCAGCATGGTGTGTTGGACATCAAGACGGAATTGGGAAACATTCTGGTCCGCCCCAATGAAATTGCCGTCATACCACGGGGTATTCGATACCAGGTCAACCTTCCGGAAGGCCCTGTCAGAGGCTACATCCTCGAGCTTCACCAAGGTCACTTCACTCTGCCAGAGCTGGGCCCCATAGGTTCAAACTGCCTAGCAAACCCCAGAGACTTTCAGATTCCCGTTGCATCATTCGATGAAGATGAGTCCGAATGGTCCATCGTCAACAAATTCAATGGGTCGTTCTTTGTCGCTAAGCAGAAACACACGCCATTCGATGTTGTGGCGTGGCATGGGAAATACTACCCTTTTAAATATGACCTGGGTCGGTTCTCAGTCATCGGTAGCATCTCCTTCGACCACCCAGACCCGTCAATCTACACCGTCCTCACAGGCCCGTCTGACCATCCCGGCACTGCTATCGCCGACTTCGTTATCTTCCCACCCCGATGGCTAGTACAGGAAGACACCTTCCGGCCTCCCTGGTACCACCGCAACACCATGTCTGAATTCATGGGCCTAATTTGTGGCGACTACGATGCGAAAACTGGCGGGGGTTTCCGTCCAGCGGGAGCAAGCTTGCATAATGTCATGTCCGCCCATGGCCCTGATGCAAGCACTTTTGAGCGGGCCTCCAACGCAGAGCTGAAGCCACAGAAGATTGGGGAGGGGAGCATGGCGTTCATGTTTGAGAGCTCACTTATGATTGGGGTCACAGAATGGGGTCTGGAAACTTGCCAGAAGGTCCAGAAGGGTTACAGCGAAGATAGTTGGTCAAGTCTGGCGAGGCATTTCAAGCGTCCAGAATAAGTTGGTACTTGGAGGAATACTTGAATATTTAACCATTGGTCATCGGAAGATTTAAGCCCCAAATTGAGATTGTATTAACATGATTGACCGAGAAGACTCAAAGAAACCTATTATGAGTTTTGAGAATGCAAGCTTTTCAAATGAGTAGGAATTCCAACTGACATTTTTCGAGTAGTTGTTTCGTGAAGTGTCCATTCGAGGTGTTGTATTCATCCGAGACAAGAATTTTGTGTGCCAGGTGTGTCAACTTTAAATGCAAAGACCTACATCGATAATTTTCTGGCGCACTGCACTGGTTATGGGTCTCAAGTATCTCATGGTCATTGTAGCATGCATCTGTCAACTTGTGAAATTTGCCAACTTAGCTGAGCTCAGAGTTGCGTGAGGCAAAGACTCTTACGAGAATTTGCTTCCATTTTGATTGCGAAAGGCGATTCCTAATAAAAACCACAAGTGACAAAAGCAAGAGCACCGCTCAAGTATCCCTAACCCCCTCAACAACTTCGGAGATGACAACGGGAACCTCAAACTTTGCGTGGCCGCGAGCGAAATAGTAACAGAGTCCAGACACAAGCCAACCGGCCATAACCACCGTAGAATAATTCATATTCTGGGCTGTTACAGGTTGCGCAGATGGGAAAGTGCTGAAGATGATGACAACCGTCATCCACACTAGGCTCACGACGTTCAGCACAGGTCCCAGAAATCCCCCAAGTCTGAAAGGTCCATATTCCTTGCGGGTCAATCTATTCCGTCCAACAAGAAGCATGTACGCAATTAGGATACTGTAGGAAAGATAAATACCAATAATCGCCATGGAAAGAACAGCATTAAAGGCTGTTGTTAATTAGGTGTGTGACATAAGGTGAAGGCTCACAGAGGCTAACTGCAGTTAGGGGTCAAAAGATAGATTACTAAAATCTACCTCCCTATATAATATATATAACCTGCTCCCTATATATAACCTTATTACTCCTTTATTACTTCCTCCCTACGTTTAATTAGTTCTAGTGATCCTAATAGGACGCCTTTATCCTAAGAACTTTATCCTTAAAAATAAATATAATGTTAAGCTACTTTATAGTTACTACTCCTATTAGCCCTATATATAGGTTATATTTATATTATTAAAGGTATATTTATACTTAATTAGTACCCCTACTTTTTAACTAATTATACTTTCCCTTATAATATCTCTTACTTCTAAGTTAATAGTTAACTTACTTTTTTAAAGTTAATATAACTTACTTTTTAAAGCTAATAATTATTTCCTCTTTAATATATACTTTCTTATTTTTTTTCTTCTTTTTCCTTACTTAAGAATAACTTTATATATTTTACTTATTACTTTTCCTATATTATTACTATATTTTCTCTACTAACTATCTATATTATTAGATCCCTATTTATATAGTAATTCTTAAGATATATTATTACTATATTTTTTTCTCTTTTATATTACTAACTTATTAACTAGTTTTATTATATCTATTATTCTTACTCTTAATACTCTCCTACTTCTTAACTTTAATAGTAGTAATAATAATAAGTACTCTCTACTTAACTTTACTTACTTTAATATATATATACTCTTTATATATATATTACTCCTACTTATTATTATTTAGCCTACTTCTTAAAAAAAAAGAAAGAAAGCTATAAAAATAATTAAAGTTAATAATACTTAAGTTAGTTATATATATTATATCACTTATATTAAATATAAAATAGCTAACCTTAATATTAAGTATTATAATTAAATAAGTATATATTATAATATTACTACTTTATTATAATATTAATAATAGTTCTAAGTAAAAGTATTTACTATATAAAGTATACTTCTTATAGATATATTTATCTTAGTAGTATAAGTATACTACTTCTTTATTACTTCTTTATAGTATCTTAACTACTTTAGATCCTTAACTTCACTAAAGAAGCTATTAATAACCTCTAAGATATTATAGAGGTTTCTAATAATAATATTTATAACTTAGAGGTAAGTTATAGCTCCCTAGTTACTCTTATAATATTCTTTTATTAATTCCCCTAAGCTTAAGAGGATTACTAAGTTATTATTAGTAATACGCTAAAAGTACTTTCTCACTATAACCCTACTTCTATATATATTATACCTCCTCTTTAAACTAAAATTAAGTTTAAAGACTCTATTAGTATTACTCCTATACCTCTTATTCCTACTACTCCTACCTTTATTATTAATACTACTCTTATATTTACTTCTAGCCCTACTTTTAAGTAGCTCTTAGCCTATATAATTATAATTATAGAGAACTTTACTCTTCTTAATATTACTCTTATTATACTCCTTAGCTATATAATTATTACTCTTAATAAAATTTAATAAGTAATCTACTTTATATATTACTACTTATACTTTCTAAGAACTTAGCTAACTTACTACTATAATATATCTACCTTACCTATATTAAAAGAGAGGAAAAAAAAGAAAAAGAAGAAGAAAAAGAAGAAGAAGAAAGTAAAAAAGAGGAAGAGACTTTATAATACCCTACTTACTACTTAGAAATTACTCTTATACTACTCTTATACTACTATTATACTATTAAGGAGATTAGGTTTTAAAGTTTATAGATAGTTAAATAAGAGGTTAATTAGTATAGCTTTTATACTACTTACTAACTATAAACTATATAGTCTCTTTATAACTATTATTTAATTAATACTACTTCCTTATAATGCTATATTAGTACTATATCCTTAATATAATATTCTAACTCCTATAT